TTTTTTTTTTTGTTACTCAATATGGTATTGATTTAAATCATTTCAGTTCTTGTTTTATTCAAGTGATTTGTCTTTGTACGTACAATTACTTTTAGCTTCTGACTGCATTCATTTCTTGCAGCAAGTATCAGAATTCGATTTGTTTACACTGGACGATATTGATTCTGCATTCCAAAATATTACCAGATTGACCTACTCGCAGAATTACCATATTCCTGGTATGTTTTTCCTTTAGTTTCTTTTTGCACGACGTTTGGACTTCGGAAATATGAGACCTCCCCCCGATTGGTATTTTTTAATTTGTTCTCTTGAGTTTTCGATTTACATATATTCTTTTGTGGTGCGTAAGGTGATAACAATTAATATTGTTTTGCTTTTCTTTCCTGTTTTACTTTTTTACATTGGCTGCACCCTGTGTTATTTTTTGTGTTTGTGTGGTGCTTTGGTGTCTTTGTATCTTTGATGCACTTCAGCTGTAGAAAGAGATAATGACTTCACTGTCAAATTTACTAGTAGATTATGCTTCTAGGTTAATAGCCTAAGGATTAGGTCGGTTTCTCGCTTAATACCCCTACTATCCAGTTTTCTTTGATCCCATTTAGTTCTATTCTTGGGGTATCTGGTAAGTTATATAATCTTTTGCTTGGATCCATGATTATTTTTTATCTTACCTTTTGTTCTGTGTCTTGTGCATTTCCTGCACTGCTAACACTAGGTAAAGGAGAAGGAATAGTCATTGCTCCCCATGCTGCTGGTCATCTCTTAGGAGGCACAGTTTGGAAGATTACCAAAGATGGGGAAGATGTTATATATGCCGTTGATTTCAATCATCGTAAAGAAAGGTCTTCTTCTTCTTAGATTGCAGATAAGTTTAACACAACATTCGTTTAGGGGGACAAAACTAACTTGCTGTTGTTCTATCAGGCATTTGAATGGAACTGTTTTATTATCTTTTGCCCGCCCTGCCGTTTTAATTACAGATGCTTACAATGCTCTGAATAATCAACCATCAAGACGTCAAAGAGACCAAGAATTTTTAGGTAATTATTTGTCATTTGTGAATGTGAATATTAGATTAGAAGATTTTTTTTCATTTTTGTCTATTCTGGTTTACAAAGTCATATAGAACCACGATTTATATGATTCACTGCATTTGATGCAGTACATTTAAAAAAAATGTGAGTCTTACACAGACAATTTTTGATCCTTATTGTTATAAATGACAGATGCCATACTGAAGACAGTGAGAGCAGATGGAAACGTATTGCTACCTGTGGATACTGCAGGTCGAGTGTTGGAGCTGATTTTAATACTGGAACAGGTTAGGTGGTCTTGGTTTTTATAAGAGTAACTTCTTGCAGTTGCTGTCATTTAGTAAAATTCAGTTCTAATGTAAATTGCAGTTCTGGGAACAACACCAATTGACATATCCGATCTTCTTCCTTACATATGTTGCGTCGAGCACAATTGACTATGCCAAGAGTTTTCTTGAGTGGATGAGCGACTCAATAGCAAAATCCTTTGAGCACACACGCGACAATGCATTTCTGTTGAAGTAAGAAATAAAGTTTAAAGTTATTTTTCCAAGAGTTTTCTGCTAGTATGTGACTAACTGCTTAAGAATGCTATAGAACATCATGAAAGAAAAGTCATAAAATTGAAAATGGCCCATTTGATTTCATTAGGTGATGGCCTTCCTTTTTTGTTGGTCTGCTACC